GCGTCCTTGTTACTACTAGTAAGGCACCTGTTACTACTAGCGTGGCACTTGTTCCTACTAGCTTCTTGTTACTACTAGTAAGGCACTTGTTACTACTAGCGATGCACTTGTTCCTAGTAGCTTCCAGTGACTTGATGCAGGTCCATGCAGGTTCGCCCCCTTTGACTTCGACTCTTTGTAATCGAAGTGGAACACCATGAAACACCCTGTCGGCTTGTCGACTAAAGAGGTTGGGAAGCTATAGTCTTCCCCGAAGCCATTGTCCACTTGCATGTTTGTCAGTGAGAGTGTCGCTTTCCTGGACACTGCGAGAATCATGTTCATGTATGTTCATGTGACATTTGACCCCAAATGACCCCAATCGAAAAAGGACCGGGGCATCATCATGCGACTTTCTGACTGTCCTGTCAGCGTTCGAGGTTGCACTCAAGGAGTGGGTGAAGAAGAATGTGGGGCTCAAGAGCCAGGGCAAAGAGCTTTGGGTCCGAGCTGTTCAAGCTAAAGTCACCGGCCATTCGTGGCAGAGTATGCAGACACTCGGCGACGAGACGACTGGCGATGTCCCATTTTTGGCGATGTGTTGGTGTGTGGTGTGTGTGTGTGTGTGTCCACACCTGTGCCTAAGGTTTTGAGTGACAAAGAACGCTACTAGGGCCCCTGGTTTTGCTACTAAGGGCCCCTGGTATCGCTACTAATATATAGTTTCTCAACGCAGAAAAAAAAGGCAGGGGGCTCGTGGACGCATGGATGGCACGAGCCAACGAAGACCCATCCATGTCGTCGTGATACCAGACCTGACAAGTCTGGCGTACCTGCTCGAATTTTTAACCCGCTCGAAGGCCTCCAGCCTTTCAATCCAAAGAACATTGTTATAACACCTTCAAATCCGCGGACCCATCACCTTTCCTTTTGCGCTTTTTCAGTCAAGGTCTAATGCGTGTAAAGTGGGGCTTCATACTGATCCTAGCTCTTGCGAGCAACAATCTAAGTGTGTTTTCGCCACAGGGTCCCACTGAGGGCTGTGGTGTGATCCCCGACAAGGGGCGCTGCATGTGCACAGGCCCAGATCCTGGGGGATCCACTCTGATTGCTTCGTCCTTGCACTGGAACTTCATTTTGAACACCCATCGATCGACCGTTCTGCACGATACCACTGATTTCATGCCGCAGGGCTTACTGTGATTCAAACTCTGGATTTGCACCATCATGGAAGCATGTGTCTAAGTATTCACAGGCGGGATTTAGCACAGTACTTCAGGCAGGGTACAAGTTCATGTGCTTTTGTTGCATGTGCTTTTCATGCTCTTCGGTTCTTTCTCTCCTTGTGTTGCTTTTCGTTTCTTGAGGCCTTTCTTTAGGTTCCAGGTGTCTTTCAGACAAGGGGTGCGCCGGCCCAAATCGGCTTTACCTGAATGCCAATGATGGCAGTGCCTGCGGGCCACCCTAACCCACCCTCCCCCCTACCTCCCTGGTTGTGGGCCTCGGTTGCTATCCCACCCGCTATTCGGGCAACAGAAGGAAATCGCACTCAACACACTTGTGTGTTGGTGCCTTTCCTTCTGTTTCTCCTACCCTATTGCTAGCTACCCGGGCGGTTTAAGACAAAATGTCCCGCTCGCTTTCTACTTTCATTTAATTAAGTGGGCCTCGTAACTACACCTATTTTTCCTTCTTGCCCTCTTAGTCTGCTTTTGTTTTGTTTGCTTTTTCTGTCTTTCTACGGCTTTTTAGGTCGCTAGTAGTTTTCAAAAAAACACCAATATTGGCGCTATGTGTACAAAGCTTTGCGACCGGCGGACACAAACGATGCTACTAGGGGCTTCTGGCCTCGCTACCAGGAGCCAGGACGGTACTACCGGGACCTCTCTCCTGGTATCGCTACAGACATATAGCTTCTCAACGCAGAAAAGAAGCAGCGGGCTCGTGGACGCATGGATGGCACGAGCCAACGAAGACCCATCCATGTCGTCGTGATACCAGACCTGATCAGTCTGGCGTACCTGCTCGAATTTTTAACCCGCTCGAAGGCCTCCAGCCGTTCAATCCAAAGAACATTGTTATAACACCTTCAAATCCGCGGACCCATCACCTTTCCTTTTGCGCTTTTTCAGTCAGGGTCTAATGCGTGTAAAGTGGGGCTTCATACTGATCCTAACTCTTGCGAGCAACAATCTAAGTGTGTGGGGAGAGATGTGGGCCTCAACAAAAACATGTAGAAACACTCAACTCACATTTTCAGATTTGTGAGAATGGACACTCAATTGCTGCACGGTGTGGTGACCTGGTGGGTTGCAAGACCAACACATTTTTACATTCCGGAGATTAGTGGCAAGGTTTCTTGGGGAGAGTAGATGGTGTTTTGACAAAACTGGAAATAATGAGTTGAAGTGCCTTCCGAGTGGATCATATTGTCAGATCTGGCCGTGCACGTGCAGGCAAAACATGCATAAAAAACAAAACAAAATTTCCCTCTATCGATCCTTCCGTCCATCCGTCCGTCCATCCAACCATCCATCGCAAGGTCTAAGATGTTGCAAGCCTTGTTTCCGGTGAGAACGCAATACAGTACTGCTCGGGTCTCTTCTTTTCTCCTGACTATGGTGACCTCAAACTCCTTATATAAACCGACAAAGGCAACAATTTTGTGTTGACTGTCCCTGGAACCCCATTCTTCAGTCCACGGAACTGCCCACCGCCTTGAAACCGCCAGACAACCCCCACCATGGCAGATCATTTGCAGTTGGAGGCCAGCCTGCCATTGAATTCCCTCACTGGTCCTGTGAGGAATCGCTACCGAAGACATTTGAAACCCAAGAAGGGCCAAGCACTGCGGAAGTCCCTGGCTCTGGGGGCACGGCCGACCGGTGTGGAAGACATCGAGGACTTCTCCCAGAGATCTGGGGACCAGTCAAAGGCTGGAAGAAAAGGAAAAACGAACAAAGATTCGGGAGACAGCAAGGCCAGTAGAGACGCAACTTCTGGGGTCCCTGAGATCACTGACTGAATCGGTTTGATAACCATACATAAGTATTGTGGATTGAATGTACTGTACCAGTTTCTGGGTGCACTCGAACGAAACAGCTGACTGCCGCTGGAGGTGAACCCAGCAGCTCCCAGTCGGGTGCGAAGCGCTGCCAGGGGCTCCTTGTAACTCGGATGAAACCAGAGGGTCGTCACCCATTTGCCACCCACTGGAACATCCCCCTCCACCTCTCCCATGGGAAGAGGGTTTTGCATCCAGGGAGCGCATCTTAGGGGACAAAGGCTATTTTGCGAGAATGGTCAGTAAAGAAGTTGGTTTGTCGTAATTATGGTATATTATATATATTATGCTTGCATCCAGGTGCAGTATGTTTTTTTTGGTGGGTATATAGGCTACAGAACTGTGAACTATTCAAGAACTCAGAACCAAAGAACCACTAATTTTTGCTGTATAATGGAAAGTGGATGCATATGCTGCGGAATTACATGGTTTACTATATAAGTTTATTATAGTATATGAGACTGTTAGTCTAGAGGTTGCGCGAGGCCTTGCTCTTTCAACCAGCTGGCTGAGACTTCGTTGTAGTACAGCACCCTTCTCGGAGTCACGTAAGAAGTGCCAGCAAACTACTCCAAGCCGCAGGCCAACTTGCTTTTCCTCCTGTTTCCCAGTCTTCACGCCCCAAAGCCCCAAACCTCCAAAAGATCCAAAACGCCGCATCTAACAGTTACTAGAACACTTTATTGTTACAGCGATGGCCTCCAACCTAATAGCAATGGCCTCCAGCCTAGCTTCTGAAGCTAGGCTCTATAGTTACAAAGATCATGCATGTTCGATTCTGGTCCGTTCGCATCTTTCCGGCTCCAGGACCGACGCACAAGTGGCCAAGATGCGTCGCCGCAGCCAGGCCACGCGGCCCAGACCTGAACCAGGTACCGGTCGCGCGACCGGTGGAGCGCTTCAACCGAGCACGAGCGCCGTTCTCGGCGCTTCCACGTGCTCCTTGCCCCTCTTCTGGGGCGTGCCGACTCGGATCTTGGAGCGACAGGATGTGCAGACGCCTGTGGATGCTGAGATGGACAATCAGAGGTTTTGTGATGTTTTGTGATGTTTTGTGTGCATCCTTTTTTTGTTGGGGGGTGGGAGGCAACAAGAGCGTGAACATAGGGTTGCCTTTGGCGGAAGGTAGTGTTTCATGCATGCAGGAACACTTGCCGAGTTCAGGACATGACTTACATTTGAAGCTGTTGACCGTGCGGGTTTTGTCCTAGAAGGCGTTTGGCTTGCTTGGGGTCAGCTCCCAGTCTGGAGTTTGGATAATTCGTGGCTGCTATTGGGGTCCTGCAGTCAAGACATGGCTGCATCTGGTGGCTGTCCATCAGCGAGAAACCATACGAAGCTTCGGATGTCTCTCGTGAACAACGTGTGGACACCTGCAGATGTACAGGAGAGGTTTACTTGACAGTGATGCAAAAAGCTGGATTCAGGGAAAGATGACACGGTTTGCCCCCGGGCTTGGGGAAACGATGAAATGGGTACACCTCTCTTTTGCTAGGTGGGGGCTACTGTATGTTGGTGGTGTGGCGGTATGATTATCGTGTATGGGCGAAACTTCGCAGAGCAAAAATGGATCATTGGCGACGAGTTGCATGACTTCTTGTGGTGAACCACTCCAGACCACCGGCCCTGACCAGTCTACACCCCAAACGTTTTCATGCACTTCCCGCGCCAAACCAATATCGACCCCAAATGGTTTCGTTGGTGGGAAGGGTCTTCCAAAAGCTGGTGGAGAACCTAACTTGCGTGGTGAGGGCTCTGAAGATTTGGAGGTGTGCATTTAAAAAGCGGACCCAGCAAGCAGCATATATGCAATAATTACGCATCCACCACGCAACACTTCTAGATCACCAGTCACGAAACACGACCTCACCACGCAAGAAGAAACACATCCCGTGGCCTACCATCCGTGCCTTTTCTCCGCCGTTTCTCGGCTCTGAGAATTGTGGATATCTCGTGCCTTCTGCCCTTCTGGGGTCGAGGTCCGAGAGCACAAGGTGCGCGCATGACGATTGGAATGCCGCCAGTGGTTTCAGAGCAGCACGCAACAAGAGAAGATATATGATACAGATGTTGTTAGTGCTTGGCTGGGACTTGTGAACATTTTTTTGGGGTGGCACAGATCATATAGAGGTGGATGGCGCTACAAGAATCCAGCACCAAGAACCATCACGTTGACGGCAAGGGATGCATTTTGGATTTCAGAACAATCTAGACCGGCGTCATGTTAGACATCAAGTACAATCTAGACCGGTGGATGCAGGTGTTGATTGCATGTTGATTGCACTCTTTTGCTGATCTTTGTATCGATCATTGAATATCATTGATAATTATTCATTAATGTTTCTTTGGGAGGATCTCTCATGATTGGCTAGTCATTTGTTCAGACCACCCATTCTTATAGTTTCACCATGCTTCACCTGCTTCAATTTGAGCTTCTCAGCTTTTTTACGGATCTCTTGGTCTCCTCCAACCACACGAAACCACCGCGTGCTTGGTCGTGGTGACTCCGCCCGGCGAGTCCGCCAGGTTACGCTCGACTTACCGCTCTTCTCGAACGCTTTCTTACTGCGCCTTGGCGCATCGAGCAGTTGGTCCTTCATCCGTCGAGGGTTCTTCTGTTGTTCATGGAATTGAGGTCTAGTTTCGCCATATGATGCACCGACCGGCCTTTTTAAAATAGACGAGCGCCACACAAGCCACAATATGCAATACTTTACTACATCACTTAGCGCATATTACATCTCCCCACAGTAGCAGCCATGACTGACTCACCTGAGTTGAACTTGCCAACAGTGCATCGCAGGTCTTCATTAACTGGTTGTCTCCAGGCTGCAGAAAGAGCTTCCAGCAAGTCTACTGAGAGAGGTGTATATATAAAATATATTATATATATATACATATACATGTTTTTCTATATATTTATAGTAATTTATATATTCCAATACGTAGTATGCATGCCATGCACATCCAGATGTGTCCATACAAATACGCCATCCAAACCGTCACCCCCAAGTGGAGCATCTACATGTGAGGCAGCCCTGGAGCAATCCATGGCTTGCCTCCGATTCTTCATGATGCTTTTGCTTGGCGCAGCCGCCGAGCACTCCATGGCCGCTTGGCAGCCCCGAAAAGGCCAGTCACTAAGCCGCGAGGCGCCGTCAGGCCTGAAGTGGGTGTCCCAATGTCATGGCCGATGGCCGTGGGCAAGAGGTGATGCATGAGTCATCCTATATGTCACATGTGGTGTTTGGGACGTAGGCGTGAGCGAGAAACGTCAGCCGTTATTTGAGCAACGTGCAAATGTGGATGTCCTAAAGTGGCTACTCGCCTGCAGAAAAAGCATAGATCAAGAATCTAGCGCATACTCAAGTCACATGTATCAAACCTGCATCACCGATGGGGGTGACCCGCCTACCGATGTCCTCTCGATGTACCAACCACTTAAGGAAGCACACACTTGGTATGTTGCTCTTCTCCGATTGAGTTGCTTGCACTAGTGGACCTGTCTTGCAGCTGAATCAAACGAATTTGTTTGGCAAACTGGATTGCTGCTAGCCTTTGGACGCTTGCCAGGTGCCACATGTTTTGCCTCTGAACAGCTTTCTGACCGTGCCTCACCGATGCCGACCGGTGCCCGCTTTGCACAGAGCAACCTCCGCCTCCACAGCACACGAAACGCAATAAGCAAGGACAACGGCAAAGGTGGTCTGGCCTGGTCAGAAGCTTTTTAAAGCCACGTTTTTGCTGCAGCTTGGATGTTCAGCAGGCAAACTGGAAAGCAATGAAATATCGCAAAGACAGCGTAGCGGCGTAGCTAACTGTTGCACCGAGCCGGAGACGCACTGTTTTTGCAGCAGGGGCTCCCACAAATGCAAGCTTGATGCAGGCAATAGAGCATGCTGAGGATAACATAGTGGACCTGCTTTGCACCCAACCCTACACACCTGCATCACCAATGGGGCCTGACCCATTCTAGGCCATGTCCTTAGGCTAGATACCAGGTTCGGTCCTGTGCTTTGTCATATGTGGCAGCTATGTTTTATGATATGCACAATATGTTGGTGGAGTCTCTCCGCTCGCCTCAGGACGAAAGCCTTGTGGATACGCTCCGACGGGGCTTTGAAAGCTTGGAGCTGCCGAAGCTTTTCGACACTTGGCCGCCTTCGACACAGTGGCTTTGTGGTGGATATTTCGCAGAGTGGGTGATTTTTTCGCAACACCTCCAAATCTGAAATCTCAATTCACAGGCCATTGGACCGCTTTCAACCGACAGCTTGCACCATGCTTGCAACGTGCTGCCAGGGTTTGGGTCCTTTGGCGGGGTACCTGCAACTGGTGATCTCTACAGCGGCTCCTGACCTATGCGCTTTGCTTGTGGCGGGCGCTGTTTTCTACTTCCTGGGTTCTGCCATGCAGGTGAAGAAGATCCGGAAGTCTGACGGGCGATCGCAGGGGTGTTCTGCGGAGTGCACGTGCAGAGGTGGTAAGTGTGTGTGTGTGTGTGAAGCCCTTGGAATCACAGGGAACCCGTTGGTTAATCACCTTCATTTTTGATTTGGGGAGTCTGCATGATTGTGGGACCGCGCTCAACGAAGCTACCACTTGGCGTACCTGCAGTTTTACTTGAGCAACTTCCTCGTGGCCCCGCTTTTAACTAGAACACAAGAATTCTGGCCATCGCATGCCATCGCATCGGTTTGCCCTCTGCAGTTGTCGTCATCCTGCCGTGGCTTCCGCTTTTCGAGCACTTTGACTTCGGTGGGATTTGAGACTTTCAGATTCACGGTCAAACCAAATTACATACGTTTGGTTGGACGCCGCTCCATTTACCTGTACTCTTGGGAATATGGCTGCTTAGGTTGCCGGGTGGCGAGTGGCCTTCGAGTGGCCTTCGATTGCATAAGCCATATCTTGAGTGCGTGTTCCCTGTGAACGTGGAAGTCATAAATGTCCAGATTCCAGGTGAAGGCCCATGGTCACAAAGTCTGAGTTCTTGGATTGCGGTTTGCTGGAGTTTCTCGCGCGTTGTAGTCATGTTTCCGCTGAGTCTTGCGAGCAAGGCATCGGTACCAACGTTTTTGCAAGCCTCCAAGGTGGTCTAACACTGAACTCTTCTCTAAATGTTCATATTCCTGTAGTTGTTCCTACATCCAAGCTACACTCCATCAAGCATGGAAGTTGACCACCCCTGTTTGCAAACGAACAAATCATCCAAGGATCTCACTTCCCTGCTTTGCCAGTGGGAACGTAAGCCTTGGCAAAACGTGCAGTTTCGAAGCCTTCCAAGAGCTTCCAAGCTCCTGTGGCTGTTTTGTTTCATCTCCCTGTGTTCCGCCCACAGCGCAGGTGGCACGACGTGAAATGAAGCCTGCCGAAGAGGTGGAGGATGAGATGGGCGACTGGTCACAGGCGGCCTGCAACACGGAAAGAAACCCACCCAAAGCCCAAACTGCTTGGCCTTGCACAAACGATACAAGGCCATTACGAGTTGCAGCAAGACCAAAGAATCAACTTTATCCGTTCAATTCCATTGTTGCCTTGTCAGAGGCAGTCAAGTTATCAGCATGGGAGTTTATTATCCACTGTGGTGTGGTCGTTCAGGCAGCCAGCTTCCATTCCAGGGTAATCGGTGCATGTCAATTAGGCTGACGGTGCATGTCAGTTCCAGCGCGCACACACACACACACACTGGTTGCACGTCGCCTCATGGGTTTCAGGCTCCCGAGATCTCGGGCTGCTCACCATTGCACCTGGCGGCGCACAACGGACGCTTGGAACACCTGGAGGAGCTTCTCAGCTCAGGCGCTGGGTGGAACTGGAACGTGGGTGGAGCCGGTTTCTGGAAGGGAGACGAAGTCATAAGACACTGGAGGACTATGCAGAGGATTTTACTTGCTTCAGGCCTAAACGCACCCATGTCATGAGACTGCTTTCAACATTTTTCAACTATATATACCCTGCCTAGCCTTGCCTACTATCACGGCGCCTGGCTATGCCTTCCCTATTCGGAGACGGACCAATCTAGGCACTAGGCCACTAGGCCCTAGGCACTGCAACTTGGTCTTGCTAGGGGCTGCAGTCAACGCCACGGACAACTACAACGAGACGCCCTTGCATATGGCAGCACGCGGCGGCTATGTGGTAGCTTGGCTGCATGTATTACAAAGGAAGCCATGAAAAGAAACCAGAAGAGATGCAACATCGATTGAGAAATCATACATGCAAGCACACGGAGCATGAACAGAGATGCGATTTTGTTTCCTTATCGCAGCCACTTTGAGTTCTATGTTTGTTTAGGACATTTGCGACGTCTTGCTGCACTATGGCGCTGATCCCCGGGCGCTTTGGGCGAGAAAATGCGAGACGACCCATGTGGTCGCAGAGGTCCCATTGCAAAGGTTGAAGAAGAACCCGACTGATCGACTAGCCCATATAGGTACCCCAGGTATCCCCAGGTGACGGGTCCGGTTTAAGGTCACTAAACCAACCTGTGTTCCCTTGGTAGAGCTCAGTTCACGATGCTTCCCGAGGTCCTGAACAAGAACCAGAAGACGCCCCTGCTGCTGGCGGCCCTGTCCGGTCATGCGGACGTGTGTGACCTCTTGAGTCCACTGAAGCTGGCCAGGTGCGAGTCGTTGGTCGCCGTGAGATGGTGAGATTTGTTGAGGATCGTGGAGGTACTGTAATTATATAATATAGGTGGGTTCGAGTTCAGGATGGATGGGTTTGGTCAAACAAATCTCATAGGCCGTCCATGTAAACTCGAAGTCCTCCAATCGGCAACCATGTGGGTACATTGTGGACGGTCTGACTCTTGATATGAAGGTGTTCTGACTGTCGCACATTTGGAACGGCCTTCCAGTTCCAGCGCTTCTGTGGATTCCATTCCACCCTACCTTCCAGCTTTGGCCCTTGCAGACCCAATTTCCTGAGAGACACCGGCTCGCACCGAACCAAAAAAACCTGCGCCAGGCGCCCCCCCTCCCAAGGCGGGGGACAGCTGTGAAGATGCGAGGAAGGATGGACGACCACGGAGAAGACTGCACATATATGTCAATAAATGAGATAATGAGATAATGAGACAATAAATATGATTTCGTTATGAGTCAATAAATGAGACCAGAAATGAGATATTGGCCACGGAGTATGTATCATGAGACATAATGAGACATCGTAATCTTCTTGGGTCCCGGAACACCTGCTCAAATAAAGAGTCAGTATCAGCGGCAGTATTTTGTTTGAAGTGTCACCGTTTCAAGGCTGTGGTTGGTTGTCATCGCATCCCATCACTATTTTGCCAATTTGATCCAATTTGATGATTGCCCGCTGATGAGAAATCAAAGGTCGGCCTAGGCCTAGTGCATACAAGGACAATTGTTGCTGAACTGGACTTCTTGCTTGAGACTCCTTAGTATCGTGAATATCTTAATCACCAGCTGGATCTGGCGTGCACACTTGCATCCACCATGACCGGAAAAGATCGAAAAACAATAAAAACATAGAATAAACACTGATAAATTATGAAATCATCATATAATTTCAATATTGGGGTGACGATGTGGGCCGAGCAGCCCCTAGACGACCTTCCGGTCAGCGGTCCATGGCGTGCAGGGCCTCATCACAGCCGAGAAGGAGCCCAGCCGGAGCTGTTGTTGGTGGTCCGTCAATCGACGCGGACAAAAACAACAGCCATGACCATGGACAACAGAATCGGGTGCATGCTTGGCAGGGCAGCAAATTGTAGACTTTTACTTGCTTGCCAAGTAGGTCCATAATGTAGAGTGTTGATGACAAGACCTTTCAGAATGGTGTTGAATCTCCAGTCCTTAGGGGTGGTATGGGGTGGTTGATTCATATACCAGTCTACATTAAGAGACTATGTAAATTCAATATAAATTCATATAACGATTTTGTTCATTCTTTTTCCCTCTCCCTCTCTCCATTATACAATATATGTAGGTAGAATGCACACACACACACATATATATATATATATCATAACCTGCATTATATATAGAGATCTTGATGGTGTCCCAACAACCGAGGCCCCGAGGTTGGTCGTTTTGTCAGGATTCCTCCAGCGACTCCACGGCCGCCAGCACTCCACGCGACTCCGTGGAGGCGGAGGGTGTCTTCACTTCCCAAGGGGTGAAGAGGTATGAAGAGGTGGAAGGGTCCGTCTTTTTGGGGTGAGCTGAACTTGGGATACCTATGGAGTACCTATGGGAATCCCTGGGATGGATGTGTCTAAATTCAGGATGCCCAACGAGCAGTGCATCTTCGGCACATTGCGACAACCACATGAACCTCACGTACGCCAGCCGCCTCTGTCAGGAGGACTGCAGCTTCGGGTGCAACGACTTGCACTGGGCGGCTTTGAGGTGGACAGCACAGGGGTTCAACCCCATTGATTGACTGTGGTTTTCAGAGTAGGGTGTCCAAAAGGCAGTGGATTTACAGGGGTTCAACCCATGATGTATGGCACAAACCGCCTGTTAGATGGGGGTCGATATTATTTTGGAGACTGTGCAAGCAAACCTCTGAACTACCCATGAATTGATCATGGGTGCCGTGTGGTTGGGCGAGCTGGGGATGACCATCAACGGGATGTTGTCCATCCATTCCTGGCCAACATTGACGATTGAGTGAGAAGGGATTGGGCTTCGAAGGATGGAGGGTTTGGCCATTGATCACATGCCACGTGGATGTAGCTCAGAGAGTAAGCCCCTCAGATCCCCAGGTTAGTTGATGCTTCCTTTTCACCAGAAGACTACCTTATTACCTGTCGTGACCTATCCTCGGAATTTCCTCCTGAAAGGGTCCGACTTGGTGCACCGTCAGGTGCTCCCTGGCGGATCTTCACGCAGGACTGGCCAAGGGGATTCTCGTTGACACGCAAGACCCCTGGGGCGACACTGCTCTTCACTTGGCTGCACGGGCCGGGGAAGCTCAGTGGGTGGGTGGTCGGACCGAGCTCTTTGAAAGTCTCACTGGAGTCCTCAGATGTGCAAAGATGCATAGAGATTTGCAAAGAAACCACACAAGGCTACAAAGCCACCCCCCTTTTTGGAGAAGACTGGCCCCAGCGGTGTTCGGCATCGACGCAGCGCCGCCAAGGCTGGCTCGGAGGAGATTTGTTCCGTGCTCTGTGCCGCCAAGGCCAATCCTTTGGTGCTCAACAAGGCTGGGAAGACTCTCCGCACACAGCGATTGCGATGTTGTAGGCACGAGTTCTGCCCAGAGAAATCACTTTATTGTGAGATATGATTAGTTTTTTTGGGGGGTTAATATGGTTTAATGTTGTTTCACAACGAGACTAGGAAACTTAGGAAGTAATTCAGGATGCTTTTCACATCTTTTCACGAGCCAGCACACTAATGCATACTACCTCAATACTTCATTGTTTGGTATTGTCCCTGTTGTTTGACCCATACCCATGGCTGTCCGAGCTATTCTGAGCTAGTTGTTCACAATTTCTCACAGGACAAGAAGACCGCTTTGGAGGTCGCTCGCATTGGCGGACACCTGATGATCGCGGATCTTCTGGAGGTGTCCGTGGCCTTTTGCAATGTCCGACAAACTGAGGGTTGGAGTCGGAGCGTGTCGCATCACGGGATCCCTGCCAGAAACCAACATGCCTCCCAACCAAAAGGTCATTGATTGGGGGATCTGTATTCTGTGGCATGTCGTGCCCGTTGGGCCCGTTGGGGTTGGTCTCAAAATGAGGAGGCCCCCAGCTGCTGCAATTTGGTGGTCTCCCGTTTTTTGGTGACAAATCCCATTTATCCCGAAGGTTTGTAGCACTCAAAGCAGCCTTCAAGATTTTTCAAGTCAGGTAAGTTATGACAAATGAACAAAGATTAACACAGAGTTAGCAGCACATAAGACAGGGGTCCTCAAGCTGTACCGCACCAAAACTTGCGTCACTCCCAGAGACAACTGAAACCCTGCAATGGCTATTTTATCATCAAGCTTGCTTCAGATGTTGTTGCTATTGAATCCTATTGAGTTCTCTTGTTGGATTGTGCTATATAGTGCACATTTCCCGCACACACGAGATGGGTTTGTCAATGTTGTTGACCTAAGCAATTGACATCCTCAATATTGAAGAGGAATAACCAGCTTCGAAGCATTTCGAAACATCATAGATTCCATGTCCCAAATCCCAGGTCCAGGATAGAGCAGTCAAGCGTGAGACGCTGGAAGATGCTTCCCGCACAAGTCCATCAACCAGCCCTGTACTTAAACGTGCCATCCGAGAGAAGGCCATATATTGTCCAATATTTGAGAGTGGCACTCACTAAGCCTACCTAGTTGTCCACCATAAACCAAGCCTCTTGCAAGAGTATCACTCACCTTCTGCCAATCTCAGCCTTGCAGAGAAAACGAGACAAACCCAACTTCACATACACGTCCAGCGCCACTGCGCACAAAGCCACCAGGACCAGCATAGACCAGCTACCACTTGCATACCGCAGGGCCACATCTACCACAAATCAGTGATTGAGCACCCATCGCCACTCCCCGCACGAGAACTGCTGTCCAGGACTTCTGTTGATCGGGACTATTGGGGCCACACATGAGGCGTCGGGTGCTGCACGTGCACACGTACAGGTGGACATGTATAGTGCCCACCGGTTGTATGCGCCGAGAGGCAGCTGACTCGGTCACATGTGCGACTTGGTTCGATACCATTGGAACTTCTGCGGTGCTTTTCAATACCAGAGCTTGTGCGAATTGTGAGCGAGTGGAAAATGCAAACATCTAGGTCAACAGCCAACGGTGACTAAGTTCTAGAGCACCAAAGGTCTCCATGCTGGTTGGTTTTGTTTCAATGTCAGCTGCTCTCAAGGCGTGATTTTTTGCGCGTGCATGACAATGACATTTCAAGCGCTTTGACACATGTGCTGGGCTCCGCGGGGCAGCCACCTTGATAACAGCAGAGCTGGCATAGGTGGCCGGCACGACTCCGAGATCAGGACTTAAAGTAAAAAGTTATTGGACTCTAAGATTTGAAGCTTCTACTCTCTGTGAATCAGTTCACTATACCTGGGCATATTAAGTTCTTGAAGAAATCAAGGCAGCCTGTGTTTTCGCCTTCTTAGACTCTTACGTTCGGTGTTATTGTTGGGGTCATTCTTGGAGGTGTCAGCCTTCGGTCAGCCTTCGGATGCCGGAGGTGCATTGCTACCCAAATGGCATACTGGTCCAAGCCTGGTAGCAGGTGTCGAGGTGCTGAAGGTGGCCTTGGTGAGAAGGTGGCATACTTTAGAGAAACGGGTTCTTCAATAACTGTACAGCATTGAATGAAGTGCGTTTGCCAGGTAGCTTGGAAATCAACCATCCTGAACCCACATCAATTACACTTCAAATCATCCGAATCTACCTGACTTCTCGGCTAGTCGAGGCGAACGTCCCAAGCAAAGCCGCTTTGTCCCGTTCCACGATTCTTGTGGAGCCATGGAGTAAGCCGAAGGCTGTCGCAAGGTACCGTGGAAAAAAAAAGCCCAGGCCAGATCGAGAGCGGAGAAATTCCAATGGATGAGAGATGACTAAGCATGACCAAGCACCCGGCAGTTGCAAATACAGTGGATGTCAAGAACTTAGACATCCTTTCGCTGGCGAGTTCATTTTGCTGCAAAAAGTGATGGCAGCAAATCACTTTAGGAGGGGTGAGGCCCGGTGAGGCTCACATGTTTTAAATCCAGCCAGTTCAAGACATGCTCAACAAGGCCAGTCGCTTTTTTGCCTATTCCGGAGGGGCACTCTACCTCGCCTCATCCATCCTCGCACGACTCCCAGGCCTGGTCAACCAAGGCGCCATCCGAAGGCGAAGCTCGCTCGAACCGGTGGCCTCGTGGAGTTCAACCGGTGGCCCCTTCTAGCTACTACTAATAGCTTCTTGTTACTACTAGTATTGCCAGGAGTGCCCCTAGTTGCGCCCTTGCTCCGTTCGTAGCGATGCCCTTTGTTACTAATAGATTTTTGTTACTACTAGTAATGGCCTCCAACCCAAAAGCGATGGCCTCCAACCTACTATATAGCTTCTTGTTACTAGTAGCCGTTTGGTTGGCCTGAGACTTCCTGCATGTATCCTGCCACATGTTTTGGTGGATGGCCCATGGAACATCGTGGAATGCATACGGAACCCTGTTGATTGGTTAATACAATTATATAGGTTTGGATTTTTGGAGGTCATTGGGTACGTTTGGAGTTTGGAGGTCATTTGGTACCGACATGCACTGAAGATCTCCTTCTTGCACGTTTTTGCTACTGTTCACGGAACCCTTTGAAGCTAGCAGCTAGAGCAAGTGTACGTAACCAAGTTTTTTGTTCCAGTTTTGGGGTTTCAGACATCAACGTCTTCAAAGATTCAGGAACGTCCTCATGAAGACATCGAGTTCTTCCGAACGAATCCCAAGACCCATGGCCATGAGCGGCCATGAGCTTCAGGATGTGAGACATGTTTTCGCCCATTCAATCATTCAGCATGCGCATATTCAACCAGCTGCTAAGCAGAGCATGGGATGGGGGGATTGGATTGCATATGCACAGTGCTTAGTGGGTGTTTGAGCTATTCATTGTGGGATTGCTGGTGCACGAGCCATCCACTGACTCACGCTGCCATAAGGCTCGTTGTGCGTATTGTGTTGGCATGAGCAGATGTTCTTGTTCAGTGGAAAACTGGCAGGTCTTTACAGCCCGAAGAAGCAATCACTCACGAACTTGTCACGTATTTACACCGCGATGGGGTAGTTCGAGTTTATGTTCAGTATGGTTTGCTCCCACTGATCCTTTTGTTTGCGGTGAGCGTGCCAAGTAATTTAGGCACGGCCGCTGGTTGTTGCGAGTAGTGCAAATGGGCCAGTCACAAAGTGACGAGCATAGCGAGGTGCCGCCGCGAGCACAGGGGCATTTTGGGAACTGTTTGGAATCGGCAAGGCTCACAGGGTCGTTCAACAGCTATCAGAAGTTGAGCACGATAGGTGTGCTGCCCATAGACTTGGTGAAACCCCCCCTTCAAAGAGAGAACACACTCAATTTGTACAACCGTGGTGCTCACGCAATAGAGATACCGAGCTGTACCTTTCGTGCAGAGCGTTCTTCCGACCTGGCGCTTCAAGGCCTAGGGCCGACCAGCCCAGTCCTAAGATCAGCCCACGACCGAGACGTCCCACATCGAGATGTCAGACCGGGTTGCCAGTATGCTCACCAGGTTCAACAGAGTTCTTCTTGGAGTTCACCACCTTTTGAACAACTTTTGGTCTTTCACAGGTAAAACGGATCTTGGTTTCTGAACCATTTGGAGGCCTAGTGGGCCTAGCTTGGTACATTTGCAGGGCACAATCTTTCCAACCGCTGTGATCCGCTGTGTTTCTTCGCCCGAGTTTGGTCCCCCTCCCTGCAATAGTAGGACAGCTACGGTCAGCTCCGACATCCATGTTTGGTGAAAACTGGCGGGAATCAGGATTTGTCCAGGCTGCATTTGCCAGGCCAAACACTCATCGCCCTTGAATCGTCTATCGCAGGCATCCAGCACCAGCACCTTGGAGGACGAATATGCGTCGCTGAACACCACGGAGCTGCAGGTGCGGAGGTTCCAAGGGTATTTGGATCCACCTCCACATCGCTGAAGCTGCAGATGGCTACTGAATCCTGGGGTGTGAAGTGGGAGCTTCCAAGACTTCACCAAGACACTGGCGGTGAAGTCTTTGTCTTTGTGAGCAATTCTTAAGAAGCTGCTAGGTTGGAGGCCATCGCTATTAGGTTGGAGGACATTACTAGTAGTAACAAGAAGCTACTAGTAGCTAGAAGCTACTAGGTTGGAGGCCATAGGTAGTAGGTTAGTAATAAGCATCACCAGCCCCTCAAGTGGAACAGAATTCTGAGCATTACTTTGGAGAACCAGCTCGTCCAACTGTGAGAGACCTGGTAGTGATTGGGTGAACAGTTCTTGGACATGATCATTCCAGCACCCAACATGCCTCAAGGTCAGCTTTGGACATCAAAAGTTGCACCTGTTCATTGGAAGGTGAGAGAGAGTTTGGTTCTTCATGGTGTTCGGCGTTCGCCTCTAAACTGGCCGCAGGCCTTGGCCGTTCAGCGGGGCTTACCAGTCCCGGTCGCTGCGGAGAGGGCCTTGCTGCTGCCGCTGCTGCGAAGCGACCCGCTGTGAAAGCCCATTGGGCCCATGGGCCATCATTTGTAACGCCTTCAAGTGCTGCGCTGTAAAGCATCCTCCACCGGTAACATGGGGCCAAGGAAGACTTGAGAAAGTCATCCACCTATATATAGACATGGTCCTGTCGTCACCTGATGGTTCCGATGGTCCCTGTCATCATTGGCATCGCTTCGCAGGAGTGCACACCAAATTGGGCCGTACGCATGACCTGTCCTCCAACCACTCTTGCAACCCGGGATGGTTCCGATTGCTGGACTTGGTGGATTCGTTGGGCACCCACCGGGGGGGGTCGCAGGTCGCATGGGGGGAACGTGCGACTTGACTGAGGCTATGACATCGGACGCCGAGTCGGCAGTGGGGGTATGTGCACCTTGGCTGGCGAGTGGTAGAGGCAGTGGTTTCCTGTGGGTTGTAGAAGCAGTGGATGCGCTTGATGTGCATTTTCTGGGCGGATCTGTAAGAAGTTGACAGGTGCTGAAAAGTAAGGAAGAAGGCTAGAATCCTGAAGATTGTCAAGGTCATGGGTACTGATCATGCAGCAGGCCCTGCGGGCAATTCAACATACTTTAACATGTATTTGCATGATTTGCAACATTGATTTGCATACCATCACGTCGAATGGTTGAGATACGAGACATGCACAAGTGCGCAGCCCATGAGAAAAACAAACACCGGGGATGATCCCAACCAATGAAATTGCTTTGAAGAGTTTTTTGATGAGTTGTTGTTGCTTCTGAATGATGCAGATGAAGTGCGTGGCCCCTTGCGTAATAGTGCTCTGTGTGTGTGTGTTGTGTTGATTCTTTTGTGTTAGTCAGTCAATGTTGTCCGAGGTTCTCGCACTGTGAGCCATGAGAGCCTGCTCACTCAGAGCTCGGATGGGCTGGAGGATGGGACTTGTAAGAGATTGGGCACCACTCTACCCGCAAAGATTCTGTAACGCTCACTTCATCAAACAACCAAGCAACAACCAGGGCTGTTTATGCATTCTGTCATTCTGTTTTATTCTGAGCGTGCAAAATTCCGTTTGAACCAACATGATTAGCTGGACACACCTGGGTGGCAAGATGAAACTTCATGGGTTTCGCGTTCTGTGTTCTTTTTTCAACCTGCGAATTGAAGCGACAGCTCGCTTCTATTATTACCATTATTGCTTGTTCGATTGATTGTCCTTGAACATGCCTCCAACTAGTCAGAAATATGGGGTCGGGTTGACACCATACATTGGCCGGACAAAAGTTGCTTCTTGAAACTCAAACTCACTACAACCCTTTCCCCTTTAGAATCCCACACTAGGAGGCCTGGGGCCGCTTGGGTGGTCATGTTTTCACACCGGGAAACCGTTCATATATTACAAAATTGCAAAGTTAACATTTTAAAACGGTGTGAGAATTGACCGTCCCACACCTGCCGCATAAATTGTACTTGGTACTTCGATGCGCACCTGACGCTACAGCGTTTGACGTGCTGACGCATTTGGAGGCACATCAAGCAGCACCTCTAGCTTGGGATGCGTTTGCACGTGTTTGC